CAATATTCTATTTATATGTAATCTTCTTCTTGTGAATATTTTGTACCATTACAATGGCGGCAGCGTACTATGTGTAACCCACGCCTTCCTTGTCCCTTGTTATAGGTGACAGCGAACTATACGTAATTCACGCTTCCCTCGTCCCTTGTTATTGGTAACAGTGTACTTAAAGTAAACCCATGCCCCCCCTCATTTTAGCCATAACACCTGACTCGTTGTTTGAGTATTGTTCGAAGTGCGTGATAAGGAGTTCATGCAAGATATAGTTTCATTATATTGGCGGCAGCGTACTATATGTAACTCACGTCCTCCTTGTCTCTTGTTATAGGTGACAGCGAACTATATATGTAATTCACGCCTCCCTCGCTTAGTTATTATAATGGTTGCAGCGTACTTAACGTAAACTCACGCCTTCCCTCGGTTAGCCATAACACCTGGCTCGTTTCATCCTTCATTTGTTTCAGTCTAAGTTTGTCTACAATTGTGTAATAAGTAATTCCCGTGTCGTAGCGTGAAAAGTGGCCTAGTGTGTCACCGTTACAGCTCAAGTAAATGTCTCTCGTCGTGGTATGCGCGAATTTTTTTTTTTTCTAGAAATATGTTCAGTCCTTAATATAATTTCTCAGTGTTCCCCGCGTTCTGTGAAGTTCTCAGTATCCCAAGTGCATTTTAATTGTCGATCAGTGTTAAATGTACCCATTGTGTTTTAGTGATAGAAGCGGTGTCCGTACTAACTGTTATAACTTAACATGTCTTTTAACCTACATCCTCCTCCCTGTCCTAACCCTCACCTCACCCTCCGTACCCATCCGTTCCCGCCTCGCTCCGCCCTGCCCTGCCCTACCCCGGTCCGCTCCGCCCCGCCCCGCCCCGCCCGCCCCGCCCCGCCCCGCAAAGCCCCGGCCTGGCCCGATCAACCACGACCCGGCTCCCCCCACCTCACCCGCCTCGCCTCCACCCGCCTCCCACCGTCCGCTGTGACCACCAATCCCCATATGTTTTGTCCCATGAGTTATGCTTTGAAATCGGTGGTTAGTGTTACTTAATATTGCGATAATTACAGAGCTTCACTCAGTGTGTTTTTATGCTAGTATGATTTGTAATGTACTCTTTGACGCGTAGTGATAAATAATATTCAATGTAATGAGCAGAGCTTCACTCCCCGACCCAGCCTAATGAGAATATTGACGTAACGTATAAAGTAAATATTTGTTTTTTTTTTGCGAATGCACTTCCAACTAATCCATCATCCCTTTAGGATTGTTTCTCTGGCAAATATCACACACAGTATCGCCCCATGGCTAGCCGGAATCCGACCACAGCACATATAAGAAGAGAAGTAGCAGCGTGAGGAATGCAGCGTGAGGAATGCAGCACCACACCCGCCACACACCACCCCACTTCTTTCAAGTCCTACCTGGTCTAGGACTAAGAAGAGTTTATATTTTTCTACTAGGAAGTTAAGGAGTGTGGAATGAAGTGCCACACAACGAACCCTGGTGAGCCCAGCCAGGGAGGGATTCACCACTGTGGAAGGTGTAAGACAGGACGGTCCTTGGTCTCGCCGACACTCACATACGGAGGGCGAGGCCTGTTCCGTGGAACCTGCCTTACGAGTTATCTAAGGAGACGACAGCCCAAACAGTGGACCGGCTTTCATCCCGGCCGGAGAGGGCCGACGGCAGATGAACAGAAAATCGTCTGGAATATGTTGAAAACGAAGATGTATAAAGAAATACAGATGGAGCAGAAAAATTCATCTGGAATATGACGGAAAACGAAGATGTATAAAGAAACGCAGACGAGCAGAAAAATCGTCTGGAATATGAAAATGCTCTAAACGTAGAGGAAGCGCAGGTGAACAGAAAAATCATCTGGAATATTATAGAAACCAGGAGGAAGTGTGAAGAAGTCAGATGTGGTGACACGACCTACAAAGTGCGGTATTGAAGAAGGAAAAACGTGCTATGTGAAGACAGAAGAGACGCTGTGCTGACATCAGAAGAAAGTCGACGATGAAAAGGTGGATAATCAGAAGGACCAATCGACTACCGTTGTTGTGCTGCCAGCATTCCTTATTTTCAGATACCAGCTGGATGGAGGACTTGAGCCATACTGAACCCAACAAATGTACTGATGTTGTTGATGTTGCTGATGTGTAATAAAAAGATATAACACCCTAACATGTGAAGTAGGAGCATTTTGTATTTTGTATTTAATTCTCTGATTTTTGTTAAACATGTACTACAAAGAATGTTTTTTTTAAAAGATTAGTCACTTTTCTATGAGTTCATTTGATCAATGTTTTGTATTACCAAACACAATGTTGTAGCCATTTACTGACTGAGATGAATTATTATTTTGACACGGCCTGGTTAGGCAATGTAACACCTGATTTTGTTTGTAGAATGTGATTTGCAAGTTTGCCTCGGACACTATGCTAGATATGAAGGATCTTTAGATCACTCTATGTTCACTTACTGTGTATGTATTTTATTATTTTTTTCTCCTGTCATAGAAGCTTTAATCTTGGCGGGAGGTATAGTAAGCTTTGTCAGATCAAACTATGCCAGTAGAAAAACATACATCTCTAGGGTTATGATTTGTAAAATGTAAGGATGCATTATCGCCTGAGGGACTATATTAGATACTGCACATGATGTTACTGTCTACTTTAAATGTATCATCAGTTCTCTGAGCATGTAAGCTTTGGTCTTGGCGGGAGGTGTAGTGAGGGGTTGTCAGACCACAGCTTACATCTCAGAAACTCCAGTCTGACCGGACATTAGCCGAGGGCAAAAGTATAGGGTAACTCTGCGGTTGACCAAGGATTGTAAACCAACTAGCTCCCCCTCCCATGTCACACATGTAAGAAGGCACCAGCCGACTCTCTCCCAATATACAATAACCTACACCGCAGAAAGAAGTCCAGACCTGACCTCACAATTAGCCAGGTCACTTGTAACCCTTGGAACCCAACTCAAGGCCTCTCGTGTTACACGGCCCCACCTGACGACTTCTCCTTACATCTCAGAAACTCCAGTCTGACCCGACGTTTGGGAAGTCAAGTGGAGGGGAACTCTCACGGTTGCTCTCCCAATATACACATGGCCCCACCTGATGACTTTCCCAGATAGTTCTGAAAAGGTCCAGGCCTGACCGCACATTTGCGGGGTCAAATGTAAAGAGACCCTTCGCCGCCCCCCAGGCCAGCTGAACCTGACGGCTCGCTTCCCAATATATAGGACGTCCTGGTCCTCCCTCCAGGATTGGCAGAGAAGCAGTTGTCTTGTAACAAGGTGGCCAGCTACGACACCACCAGGCCTGCTCGAGCCGAAGTCAGAGGCCGGAGGCAAGTCGCCTCCGGTCAGGACCGAGACTTCCCTCCAGCGCCCAGCTAAGCAGTCTCCCATAGAGACAACCCAGGACTACCTGCTAGGCCTCCCCTAGGTCACGTGAGTGTTTGTCAGAGCTTTCCATGGGATGAGTTACTTACGTGGGAAGTGTATTCATTTCATGTTCGTGTCCGAGAATCAGAGTGTCTAGTAACGTAATATGATGTCCTAGTAACGTAAATATAATGTCCTAGTAACTTCAATAGAAGGTGTTATTAATGTGTCCATGTCATGTTCGTGATTAATAAAGAGTTGTAACGAAGCAGTGTTTAAGAAGTCGCCCTTAAGACGTAATAGAAGTGTATTGACGTATAAGATACGATAAGTGTACTGACAGTGTAAATAACTATCACGGCCACGCTACCAAAGTCTTCCTCTCTTTATACTCTTATACTATCAATATTCTACCTATATGTAATCTTCTTCTTGTGAGTTTTGTCTCTCGTACAGGCTTAACCTTCTTTTGGCTTATTTAACCTAACACTGTAAACCTTAACTTCTTTTAACTTAACCCTTCTTTTCAAGCTTATTTAACTTCTTTAGCCGCCCAACTAACAGAACAATAGATCTGTAATCTGTTATTTACTTTTTTTGGCGTTAAGTAGTTTTTGTGTACATTGTAGACATAATATAAATACTAGCCATTCAGGTCTCACATATAACAGCCATTCTAGGTCACATATGTAGCCATTCTGGAGTGGAAATGTAACAGCCATTCTGAGTCCTTATATAACAGCCATTCTGGAGTCAAAACATGAGACTACCAACACACATTGTGGATGCTGCTTCGCAACAGGCACACACACACCCAGACCAACAACACCAGGATGACACATATATTAAGCCACCACGAATCCTTTCAGACACTTTAATAATCACTAACAGATGTTCTTAAGATGAGTCTGTGGGTTGCTGGAAGTATCATAAATAAATGTTTATGGGTTAAATTATGACATTACCGTCATTAACGCTCTGAGCTGTGAGCGTTAATAAAAATATGAAGCTGATATGTATCTGAGGTTCAGGAGACTCACGTGTATCATGAGCGAGAGAGAGTGTAGGACTGAGGGTAGAGTCAGGCCAGGGGTCTGGTCCTTACTGTTGACATAGCCAGGTCACAGGGCTATAGGTCAGATGTCAAGAGGTCATCTGTTAGACAAGAAGATTCATTACCATACATCACTAACTTCAGTATTAGAGAGAAAATGGTAGACGCTGGCTCATAGTTTACTCACTGTGGGTGTAGTAATTATATAGTGCACATTTATATAAGTATTGCTGTCTGTTAGAAGGGGTTAATACATTGCTTGAATGGATGAAGTTGACTAAGAGAGAGAAAAGTTGCTTTTAAGACGTTCATTCTGATGTCATCTCACTTGGATGATCATCTGTTTCATGCAAATTTTTACTGTATATTAGTTAAATGGTCAGGTTAGGTCATGTCAGGTCAGAAAAGGTCAGGTTAGGTCAGATCAGGTTAGGTTAAGCTAAATAGCATAAAACAGACCGAGTGGGATGTAATTATTCATCCTTCCCACAATTTTGATACAATACAATCATCATCATTATCTCAGACAATAAATAATAATATTGTACATTTTTCAGAATCATCTCCATGCCTTAGGTCTAGAGGTGAACATCCCTGCACCGCCTCACAATGTGTTCACTGTTTCTCGTCACATGGCTAAGGAGAAAAACACATTTAGGTAAGTATAGGCTGTTTCTTCTGTGTTAGTTAAGGTGGTGTGGCTACTTGTGTGGTTAGGTGTGGCTACTTGTGTGGTTAGGTGTGGCTACTTGTGTGGATAGGTGTGGCTATGTGTATGGTTAGGTGTGGCTACTTGTATGGTTAGCTGGGGCTACTTGTATGGTTAGCTGGGCCTACTTGTATGGTTAGATGGGGCTACTTGTATGGTTAGATGGGGCTACTTGTATGGTTATCTGGGGCTACTTGTATGGTTAGCTGGGGCTACGTGTATGGTTAGCTGGGGCTACTTGTATGGTTAGCTGGGCCTACTTGTATGGTTAGCTGGGGCTACTTGTATGGTTAGGTGTGGCTACTCATGACCACTCCTCACCCTCATGATCACTCCTCAGGGAAGATGTAATATCCACCCAAGAGGCCGGACCATCAGGGAGTGAGCCGCACCCTGTACACGGGGCCAGGCGGGCTACAGAGAGAGTCAAGATTTCCAAGTGTGACATTTCTGCAGATAAACACTATCAACAGAGGTCACACCTTCCTATATCCTCGCAGTCGGCAGCAATGAATGTAGCTGTTAAACTGAGGTACATATTTGTTTCCTTATGGTGTATGTGTGTGTGTGTGTAGTGTTTGTAAATATCTCAGTTAAAACACACACACACAGTACTGTACAGAGTAATAACATGTAAGATTTCTGGGTTTTTTTTACAGGAATTTTGAAGTGAAAGAGAGTTTTAGAATATATACTGTACCACGTGTTAATACTGTAATTATACCAGGTGTTAATAATTATACCAGGTGTTAATACTGTAGTTATATCAGGTGTTAATTATTATTATACCAGGTGATCAGACTAATTGTGTTATAGTAAATGTTTTTCTTTGCCTCTACTCAGTACAGGCCAACAGTCAGTCTCTCCTTTGGGTAAGACACAAGTTAACAGCTCTCATTAAATAAAGTTAAGAACAACAAAAGAAACTTGAGTTAAGTCTCCACGTTAGAAGAAGCGAACTGCTCGATGGTAGGATGTTTTGTTTTGGTCTGTTGAACGTGACTGCTCAACTGTTGGCTGCAACTTTGTGATGCATTAACAATAACATTTAATAAGATATCCCAGTGTATGTTGAGTCTTGTCGTTTGGATGAACGGTGGTGTTGTCGGCCGTCACCACAGTGAGATGCTCCCCCACGTTCTCAAATTAAATCATCGCTGAAAAAATCACTTAGTATAAAGTCTGTTTAATATAAGTGTGGGAGATGATTTTATAGTAGCTTTATACTATGGCTTGGTGATGTTTACTATAGTACGTACTGTAAACACAAGTGATATAATACATCACTTTTACATACTGTACTGTATAGTTAAAGTTGACATTCTTTATGCCATTAGCACAGTTTGTTGAGTGGCAGCCCCTAGTGGCAACAAGGTTCAGGACACAGACACAGTTGGTGGTCCACTCAATACAGGATTGAATCCATGTTATCCACTAATTGAGTCATGGAGCATCATGTACTGTACTGCATGAGGTTATGACTGTATGATGTACTGTACTGCATGAGGTTTTGACTATATGATGTACTGTACTGTATAGTGAGGCCCTGGCTCATGTGTGTGTGTGTTCTTTACAGCTGATTGTATCTCAGACTAACTAAGTGCATTTTGCCAACACAACTAACCACAGTATTTATTTTAGTGGCCAGGATGAGGAGCACATGTCCAACTCTCACTGTTGTTCACTGAGTATACCCCCCCAACAGAGTATCCCCCAACAGAGTATCCCCCCCAACAAGTACCCCCCCAACAAGTATCCCCCCAACAGCTTACTGCGGCTGATAATTAAATACTCTGGTGACATAAACTAATGCAGTTTAACTTAATGCCTTCTTCTTCGCCTAACCCTACCTTATGCTAACTTCTTTAAAATGTCCTTAGCACATCTCACCCATCCTCAGCACCACCTCAGCACCCACCCCTCATCCACCCCCCTCCTCACCCACTCCCTCCCATCATTATCCTCATCACCCACCCCCTCATCACTGCCACTCATCACCCACCTCATCACCACCTCATCACCCACCCCACTCATCACCCACCCCACTCATCACCCACTCCTCCCACCTCATCTCTCGTTAGTGTCCACACCACCTGAGTACACCTGATGATCTTACCTTATTTCTCTGTTCACTATTCTCTTCATTCTCTTCTTCTCCTTATTTCTCTCTTCACTATTCTCTTCATTCTCTTCTCCTTATTTCTGTGTTCCCTTGTTTTCTCTTCTCATTATGCAACAAAGTTCAAGATCACAACATAAATGGTACCACTGTCTTAGCCCTTCACTGTGTACGTGCTTGGGTGGGTGAGTGCGTGGTTGTATGTGTGTGTGTTTGCGTGTGGCTGTGTGCGCGTGGGTAGGTATGTGTGTGCGTGTTAGTAATGAGGCTCTTGGTATTATAGTGAATCTTGTGTTGTATGTGAGTCTTTTTCATCACTTTCTGAGGTCAACACACACACAACACACACACACACACACACACACACAGGAACATATTTTTCTCAGTAACCTAAAAAATTTCTGGGGATAAGAGATTTTTCAGGGTTACCCAGAAATCTCTCATCCCCGGGAGTGCTATGCGTCAATTGTTCCAGCTAACCTAACCTAACCTAATCCTAACCAAAAAGAGAGAGATTTATCCTTTTATTCTTCTCATTAGGAATACAGTACAGGTATACCCCAATAATCAATACATATGTGGAATGTGAAACGTCGTTACTTAGTGAATCAACGGTTATTGGGGCAATTAATCCCGTAACTTAACTAATTCAGGGGGTTAGGGACTGGTCAACCCTGGAAACTCCCATCTACCCTTGATATATCTGTGTACTCCACACTGTCAAGCAAGAAACATAAAGCAAGAATAATAAGCCTTAAATAAGCAATGAAAAATATAAATTGAGACTGTTATTTACCTGTGTTGAGGATGGTCTAGGGTGACAAGTCTCTTCCACTCTTTGCCGGTCCATCACCACTCTTATTGTGCCTTATTACATCAAACTTGATAAGAGGAACAATCACTTGAGCATTTAGACATGATTATTTAACACTTGAAGTAGAAAATAATGACAAAACACAGAGATAACGAGTAAGTGTAAACAAGTGTAGAGCGGCGGGAATGAGTCGGAGTCTGGACCCCCTAGGACCCCCTGGATCTGCCCCTTGATAACTGCACTGAGCATTCAAATACA